TTTGGCCTGGGCAGTGGTTCCAACCTGTCATTAGTATGAGAAACTTTCCAGTAAGTATGTTCATTTTTGTGGTCACTGTTCTTTTCTATTTCCTTTTATGTATTAGTTCATAAGCGCTAAGTTTCAAAAGCACAAAAACATTCTAGAGTCCTTGATTGCTCAGTCATCCTTCCATTCATTTATTCAATAAATGTTTATTAAGTTTCTATTATGTGTCAGATGTTGTGCAAATTCTTATGGTAATAAAAAGATGTATGAGACGTAGACATTTTATTTAGTCACTCAACAATGTTTGAAGATCTACTCTGCACAAGGTGCTATGGATCAATAAAGGGAATAGTCCAGCTTAAGACAACACAACAAAAAGAAACTCTTGACTGCACTGGCCATAACATCTTTTTACTGAGATCTTCATGGCACAACTTCTTGATGAACAGGTATTTTTTTAATGGTCATTCCCTTCACTTCTTCCTTCTACTCCTCAACACACAGATAAATTGTGTGCTGTACTTTCCAGTTGAGCTTTCAACCCAAATGTTTGAGGAAATTTCTCTTACCAAATTACTTAGGATGTTGCCAAAACCAATGATCAATTTTCTTCCTATAGGATTTGATGCATCCAACATAGTGGACCACACTCTTCTTAAAACACTTTCTCCAGTTGACTTTTACAATGTCATCCCCTCGTAATTTTCCTCCTGTCACCAACTCCTACTCAGTATCTTTAGCTGGCCCTTCCTCCTCTGTTCAACCTCTAAATGTTGTTATTTCTATTCCAGGATTCAATTCAGAAACTTTTTCTTTTATTCATGAATATTCTTATCCTAGTTATTTCATCTAATCCTGTATTTTTAAAAATCTATTCTATACTTTTCATGTACAAATTGCCCTCTCTAGGACTAGCATAAGGGGTGTAATTATCCTAAAGTAACCCAGGAATTTAATAAGCTGGCCAAGAAGGGGGATTTTCCTTTTCCCAGCCTGAGCGATCGTGCCTACTATAGCTCCCTGTACAATGTGTGGCTTTCGCCCCCAAGAAAAAGGAAACTCTTTGCACAAGTCCCAAGGTTTCTAGGTGCTGGGCGGTTGATTTTCCCAATCTTGTGAGCAGCTGGCACCTAAATCCAGACTGTTTCACACCAACAGCCTGTGTTCCTCATTGATAAGGCTGTGTCCTTGTGCTTACATGATAAAAAATTATAATAAAGGAGACTAGTGTTCCTACACTGGAATGAAGACTCACATTGTGAGCCCAGCAATCTTTTGACAATTTATGCATCAGCATAAGACAGGAGGATGGGGAAATCATGCCATCTATTCTTTTGCTGACCAGTAATTTCTGTGAGTTTTCCTAATACAGCATATTATTTAGTCCATGATTATCATGTTGAGAAATTCTTCACAAACTCTGATGCCAATAGGTGGTAACTCAGATGGGCATCAGTTTACACAGCATGCTGACCTTCCCTGAGCATGTGGAGAATTTCGTTGTCTCAGTATCACATGTATAAACAACTATCTTTTTTTTCCCATTGAATTTACCTTTCTCAAAATCAATTGGTAATACGAATTTAGGCCATTAACTTATACATAAGCAAAAATTCCCTCAAAATGGACTATAGTCCTAAATGAAAGAGCTAAACTATACATTTGTTAAAGAAAACAGAGATTAACATATTCATGACATTGGATTAGACAAAAGCTTAAGTTTTCCTGGTAGAAAGAAAAAAAGGAAAGGAAAAAAGTTGAAAAATGAGACAGGATCAAAGCTAAAAATTTTAAAAGATATCAATATCAATAAGAAAGTGAAAGGATAAGCCACAGACTGGAGAAAAAAAATTAAATCATATATTTGATAAAGGACTTGTATCCAGAATGTAAAATGCACACACAACAAAAAGGTAAATAACCCAATTTTTAAATGGGCAAGATATTTGAATAGCCATTTCACCAAAAAGGTGCAGGAATGACCAATCACATGAAAAGATGGTCAGCATCATGAATCAGCAGGGAAATGCAAGTCAAAACTGCAGTGAGACACCACTTCTTACCCACTAGAATGCTACAATAAAAAAGAAAGACAATGACAATTGAGGAAGTGAAAACACAATGCTGTGGGGAAACTGAAATACTCATGCATTGCTGATGGGACATGCAGCCATCTTTAAAAACATTTTAGCAGTTTCTTAAAACATTAAAGACACACATTTACCATATGACCTAGCAGTTTCACGTCTATCTGCCTACCCCAAAGAAATAAAAATCTATGTCTACACACCACATGAATGTGAATATTCATAGCCGCTTTATCCATAATGCACTTTGGGAGGCCCAGGTGGGCAGATTACAAGGTCAAGAAATCGAGACCATCCTGGCCAACATGGTGAAACCCCATCTCTACTAAAAATAGAAAAATTAGCCAGGCATGGTGTTGTATACCTGTAAGTCCAGCTACTCTGGAGGCTGAGGCAGGAAAATTGCTTGAACCTAAGAGGCAGAGGTTGCAGTGAGCTGAGCTTGCACCATTGCATTCCAGCCTGGCGACAGAACAAGGCTCCATCTCAAAGGAACGAAACAAAACAACAACAACAACAACAACTGGAAACACATTAAATATCCATCAACTAATAAATGAATAAACTAATGGGAGCCATCCATACAACTTAATAGGATTTGGCACCTAAAAGGAATGAAATCTTGCTATGTGCTACCACATACATGAACCGCAAGAGTATATTAAGCCAAGTGAAAGAAGACAGATACAAAAAAACCACGAATTGCATAATTTCATTTATATGGTGTCCAGAGAATCAAATCTGTGGAGTCAGAAAGTAAATTAGGGCCTGCCTAGAGCTAGCTGGGGGTTTGGGAATAAGGAATGGCAACTGAGAAGCGTGAGGGATTCCTTAAGAAAGACAGAAATGTTCCCAAACAAGATTGTGATGATGGCCACACAAGTCTAAAATTTTACTAAGAATAATTGAACTGTACACTTAAAACAGGTGACTGTTATGATATGTCAGTAATACCTCAGTAAAGCTGTTTAAAAGCAGAAAGTTGGTAGTATGGCCCCCACCAGCCTTGCTCTTTGGCTTATGTCTCACTTTTCTAAAGGAAATAAGCTATCTATTGGTTTAAAGGAAGCTTACAGTTACTGCTTCCACTCAGAGACTCTGAGAGACACTGGCTGAAATCTATTAGTCTCCAGAACTCTCAACAGCTGAGGGAATGTCCGGCCCCATCCTGAAGGTGATGGGGGATCTGTAAGGCTCACTCCAGCATCTGCTACAGCAGGCAAAGCTGTGTGATGCACCTGAGTGGTCTCGGGTAGTGCTCCACACGTCTCTGCAAGACCCAGCACTTGTAGCTAGTTCTGAGAGCTTCAGAGAACAAGCTGCTGCATCTTGCAGCCCAGGGCCAACCTCTTCTAGGCAAGTGGATTTGAAGCGTTGCTAGTCAGGCCCCAAGTAGTAGTTGAATGTCTACAACAAGGAAGGAAGGCAAGACCCACAGTGGGGTTTCAAACTAAATAATTCGTAGAGTATTACATCAAACAACTGCAGAAAGCATTCTTTTCGAGTGTTTACGGCATTTTCACCAACATAGACCATATGCTGCACCATAAAACAAGTCTCAATATATATCCAAAAATCAAAATCATACACAGCATATGCTCTGGCCACAATAATATTTAATTAGAAATCCATAACAATAAGATATCTAGAAAACCCCCAATTTTAGAAAACAAGCAACATGCTTCTGAATAACACTTACATCAAAGAAAAAAATCACACAAAAAAAATCAAAACATCATTAACTAGATGATGATAACCCAATGCATCAAAATGTAGGATAGAACTTACATGTTGTTTAGAGAGAATTTTACAACTTTAAATGCCTATAGTGGAAATGAGCAAAAGAGTAAAGTCAATTATCCATGCTTTTATAATAAGAACCCTGAAAAAGAAGACTAAAATAAACCCAAAGTTAATAAATATAAGCCAATCATAAAAATAATGAAAATCATGAAATAGAAAGATGAACAAACAAGAGTCAATCAATGGTCAATTCTTCCATATTTTACGAACAAAACTTTAGTTCAGAGTGATTTTATATTTAAATATACATCCAGAACCACAAAGATCTTAGAAGAAAAAATTAGGAAAATATAGAAATAAAATGGGAATTCTATGGGAATAAAAATCTGAAAATAATTGTCTACCAAGTAAATGGGGAAAGGGTAGAAAATTAACTAAGAACGGTCAGAAAACCCTTCTGGAGTGAAGGAAATGGCTTATATCTTCTTTTGGGTGGTACTTACATGGACATATACAACTGTCAAGATTCACTAACACTGCACACTTAAGTGTACACTGAACGCTTAAGATATGGGCCTTTCAATGCATGTAAATTACATCTCAATTTTTTTAAGTAGAGAAAAGTGTCTTGGGGAGTTTATAGCAGTGATATTTGGGCAGACAGGGGCATAGGTTTCAGAAGCATTCATAGAACGTCCATTCAGAAATTTGCTAAGAATGGTTTTGCAGCCAAAAATGTAAGATAAGTGCACATATCTTTTTGATAAGAGTCATTGGGGCATACAGCTACAAATCCCCATACTTGTAGTACAGGCCATATAATTAATTTGTTATCACTAGATAGCTTTCTTTCAATGAGGTCCTTCCACTAGAAACCCGGAGCTCTCCAGGGGAAAACGACAATTGAAGTTTTGGATATACCGGTGGAAAAGAAAGTCACCTCACATAAAATTTAGTGATTGGAGCTGTCACCATCGTAAATTTCTAAACTTTGCAAGACAGCAGCAACATTTCAAATGACATTCTGAAAGGGGAGTTAATGGGCTAACGTAGATTTCCCTCTAGGTGGATTTACCGTACAAGGACAAAATTTACATTACGCTTGGAGATTTCTCCCAGTTTGGTTAAAGTTCACAGATTGTGGACCCCAGACAGCTGGTATCAACTGACCAATGTTCTGTTAAGGCTAAACCCAAGGCTCTTTATCACAGTGGCCTTAAGATTGGATTTTTCTTCCTGTTCCTGGGAAGAATTAGAGATATAACTTAAAGGTCACTATTCTGTGAAAAGGGATCCTGAAGGAGGAGGGAGCAATGAGTATATGGCAGGAGTTCAAGGTGATAAAGGCTGAGCCAGAAGCCACAGAGCATAAAGCTCCAGTGCTGCCTTTAAGGATGAGACAACGAGGACCCCGACTCCTCTATCCAGGCTAACCTATGGTTAGAGTTTTTTCTTTCCTTTCAACTACTCCCGGCAGTAGTCAGGTCATGGAATATTTGCAAAAAATTGGGTGAAGGAAAATAAGGGATCTGTCTGAATATATAACCATTTTACCTCTGTTTTTAGCTTTCTTCAGGGTCACCCTAGAATCAGATCTGCTCCCCAGCATCTTCTGTTTCCTGGCGAGTGTTTCCTGCTACCTTGGATTTTCCATGATGGGCTGGAGCTGCCTTGTGACGGGAGCTGGAGGGTTTCTGGGTCAGAGGATCATCCGCCTGTTGGTGGAGGAGAAAGAGCTGAAGGAGATCAGGGCCTTGGACAAGGCCTTCAGACCGGAATTGAGGGAGGAATTTTCTAGTAAGTAAACTTGGGTCATGGGTGTGTGGTCCATCTTAAACTCTGCTTGGGTGTGGGGACGTGGACTTTGTCTAACACGTTATGGAAAGTTGTAGCCAAATGAAAGCCAATTCCACATCCAAAGTCATCAGAAAGGAAACAGGATAAATAAAATGGGATAGTGTGAAAGATACTGAATGGAGTGTCCAGAGACTGGATTCTGGCCCTGCCCCCGGAACTTGAGAGGCAGCCACCTCTGCCTCCAGACCTCTCTTCTTCTCTCCTAGTAAATCCCACATCAGTTCTTTTTTGTCTATGACTCTTTTGTGTTCTGAAGCTTTTTGTCTTGGCAATTGCTGTGCAATATTCACAAAGGGCATCATTTACCTGGAGACCTCACCAGGGGGTCCTGTCTCTCCAGATTGCCCCAGGCTTTGTTTCATTTGATAGCTTCCTTAGCATCTTTAGTGATGGCAAAATAAAAGGAAGTGAAGGTACAGATGTGTGTGTAAGTGTGTGTGTGCCAGAGAGAGAAAGAAAATGAGGGGGAAAGAAAGTCAGAGAGAGAGAGAGAAGCAGAAAGACAGACAATGAATGAGAAAGATAGTGTGTGAGAGAGCATCGGTAAGAGAGAGAGGGCATGAAAGAGAGCATCAGTAAGAGAGAGACAGCATACAAGTGCACAGCACAGAGCAGAGACAGAGTAAGAAGCAGTAGGAGGCAAGACAAGCCTCATTTATAGTTCTCATATATGGCCTTATTTTTTTTAACCATTTGTCTCTGTTGCTCAACACCCCAAAGAAATTGACTGCAAAATTTGCTGTAGTTAACTCCTTGCGCAAATAACCCTGTGAGGAAGGTAGAAAAAAAGGTCACATCCAACTGGACAATAAGCCCATCAAGGTCCAGAAACATAAAGTGACTTGCCAAGACTAGCTGATGAAGGTGCAGCAGAGCTCAGACCAGAGCTTCATCCAGAGGCTTCATCACTTGACTCCGGGGCTGATCCTTGGCAAAGAGAGTCTTCAGTCGTTCCCTTTGCCTCTCTGTGGGCCCCAGACCAATTCCCTGTGCTCCTCCCAACCTGGGGGATTGGGGAATGTGGGTTCTGGCTGCCTGGAAGGTCCAGCCCTGCCCACACAGACCCCTTGACCCCCTGTCTTGACAGCACTCTGGGACCACACCCAACACTCTTCTTTTGATTTCCTCCACCCTCTGTTTTAATGGTGTCTTTGATAAACAAATATTAACACATGACCAATATTAAATGTTTGTAATCCTTATGTCTCAGCAATATTTGCAATCTAACATCTGATGTCAGGAAAAAGGAATGCCCAGGCTAGAGGAACAGTTCTCCTATGGTGAAAATGCAAGGGGTGTAATGGATGGGCAGGGGTCTGTACGAAGGTAAAGCAGAGAATCCTTTCAGTGTTCTTTCTGTGCCGGGCACTGTATAAAGGTTTTGCATGTGCTGACTCCTGACTCCTCATAACAACTCTATGAGATCAGCAACATTATTATCCCTTTTTACAGATGAGAAGACAGGCACAGAGAGGTTAATCAACTTGTCTAAGCTCCCACAGTTAGATTATGGCAAAGCAGGATTTGAACCCAGGCAGTCTAGTGCCGCATCTGTACACTTAAACGGTACTTCGTCTCGCAGCTTCTCTAGACCCCCACTAGCTCAACTCACACCATGTAAGCAACTGCATTTAGTCTACATGAAACACTTGCCAAGTCCACAGGAAAAGGAGGGAGTTATGGCTCCATCCAGAAAGTGCCCTTTTCTGGTCTCTCTAGATCCCTGGGAACTAACTGGGGAAGAGTCATTTTCTACTGGTTTTGACTTATTCCGCCTTGACATAGCAATTCCTTTGAGCCAGTCTGTCTGAAGTCAGCAGCAAAGGAGAAGCAGAGGAAGGGAGCAGGAAGGGTAGAGGGGGAAATACAACCAGAGAAAATTCCACTCTCAGGCTGTCACCACCTCCTCCCCAGCAGCTTCTTCCCCGCCTCCCCCACTGCAGTCCCTTCCTGGAGTCCCCTGACAGTGGAAGGGGCTGGGAGTAGAGAAAACATGGCAGAGACATCGGGAGAGCAAATGGTCCCCCCTGTACCCCAGGAAGGAATTTCTCCAGCCTTGAATTTTTCGTTCTGAATTTTGCTCTCGCTGTGGTTTGTCCTTTGCTGCCAATTTCAGTTAAACTGATTTATTCTTAATCTTTCTCAGAGAAGTTGATTCTAAACAGCCAGTCCTGCACCCAGGGTACAGGGTACAAGGCTTGAGGTGGGGTGGGCAGGTCTGAGCCTTCACGAGAAGCGTGACCTTGGATCTGTCCTTTAACTTCTCTGAGCCTCAGTTTCCTCACCAATACAGTGGGAATCAGAATGCCTACCTCACAAGATAGCAGCTGTGGGCCGTGCGCAGATTATAAAGCGTGAATGAGTGTAGAGTATTTATCTGAGCTCCATGTGGCACGGTGTTCATTGTGTGGGCTAATTCCAGGTGACAGCTTTACTGGCAGCATCATTTTCTGTGGATTTCAGAGGAACCTGAAGGTATCGGCACTGTATCCTCTGCCCGTGGCTAGACACTAGATGGCTGGGACGTTGGTTCATTGGTGGCTGACTCATTTTCAGCATTGCTACCTGCTTTTGATGATATCTGATGAGAGTTTTTCAGTGAAATTCACGATTTAAGCCCATCTGCAATTCCTGAGTAAGGGCTCCACTCTCCTCTCCGTTGTCCAAGCAGGAGACTATAGGGATGATTTTAGTCGTCTCTGTTTCCTGTCAACCCAGATCCAATAGGTACCAGGACATTCAAGGTGAGGTATGAAATTCAAACACGGTGTATCTCTCCCTTCCTCTGCTTCCACTGCCGGATCCTGGTTACGGTCCTCATCGAAACTTTGGCAACGACATTCTGGTTAATCTCTTGATCATCTTGTTTTCTCTTCTATCCTCTATACCAGTCCATTTTATATCCTCATGCCAAGGTAAACACCCTATGCCACAACTCTGCTTCTGTTTCTCTTTTATTATTATTCCTATTATTTTGAGACCATGTCTTTCTCTGACACCGAGCCTGGAGTGCAGTGGCGTGATCTCAATTCCCTGCAACCTCTGCCTCCCAGACCCCATCCATCCTCCCACGTCAGGTTTGTGATTAGCTGTGAGTTTAGGCATGTGCCATCACGCCTAGCTAATTTTTTAAATTTTAGTAAAGACAGGGTTTTGCCATGTTTTACAGCCTGGTCTTGACCTCCAGAACTCAAGTGATTCACCACCTCAGAGTCCCAAAGGGCTAGAATTACAGGCATGAGCCATTGTGCCTGGCCTGTTTCTCTACTGATTCCAATGTAAATAAGGGGTTTCTTCGACATATGAGGAAATTTTTGAATTTAATTCTGTAGGTAATGAGGGATCATTCTTTTCAATGACATAAGAGGAAATTCTTTTCCTTGACATAAGAGGAAAAGTTTGAATTTAATTCTGTAGGTAATGAGGGATCATTCTTTTCAATGACGTAAGAGGAAATTCTTTTCCTTGACATAAGAGGAAAAGTTTGAATTTAATTCTGTAGGTAATGAGAAATCATTGAAAAGAATGATTCCTGCTGAGCTCTGAGCCAAGTGTCTTTGCTGATCATTGAAAAGAATGATTCCTCATTACCTACAGAATTAAATTCAAACTTTTCCTCTTATATCCAATTCTCCACAATCACTCTATTCTCCATAAAAAAAAAAAAGGTGACTCTTGCATGACTCTAGGAATACTTATATTCCAGGCACATCTGACAGCTCACTGTTCAGATTGCTTTTCTGGAATAAGACAGGGTATAAACAGATGTTTTCTCTTTCCCGGTAAACTGCTTCCCATGCTTATTTCTGTGCATTTGTTTACTTGTTTCTTTTACGAAATGTACACCCTCCATTCTAACACCCGACTCTTACCATCCTTGAATAACTTGTAACGTCACCTTACCAGAAAACTTCCCAGCCAGATCCAGAAATCCTTCCAATGACCTGACCTGTGTTCACACAGAGCTCCAGAGCAAGACCAAGCTGACGATGCTGGAAGGAGACATTCTGGATGAGTCATGCCTGAAGAGAGCCTGCCAGGACATCACGGTCATCATCCACACGGCCTCTGTCGTTGATGTCTTCGGCGTCACTCACAGAGAGTCTATCATGAACGTCAACGTGAAAGGTACCATAGCCTGGGCGGGGGGGGAGATGGAGCAAGGTGGGGAAACAGGATCAGAAAGAAGGACACGGAAGGGAAGAGAAGGCCCTCCGCCGAACACTTGCTGAGCTCTGGGCCACGTGCCTTTGCTGATCATTCTGACTGGGGAGTTCAAGGCTGCTACCCTCAGTTTTCTAGATGAGAAAAATAGGGCCGAGAGCCAGCAAGTAACTTGTCCAAGGCCCCACAGGTAAGTAAGTAAAGTAGGAGAGTCAGACTTTAAACTCACCCCTGTGTGACTCCAAAGGCCGTGGAAGCTCTTTCTACTGTGGCCCCAATCAAAAGTCAACTGATATCTGACTTCAGACACTTGATATCAAGCCACCCCTTGGCTCCCTGGGCCAGAATCAGACCTTCCAGGTGCCACCACAGTCATCACTGTGAACCTTGTGTGCAGGCTGATGAGAGCATTCAGAGCCCCCCTGCCCATCTGAAAGATGAAGTCCTCTTGGTAGAACTGGCACAGCTGGTTCACAGAGGTATGTCAGGACAGAGTCACCCAGAACACGCCTTCCCACAGGATTTTCTGAACAGTAAGAGTTTCCCAGGATCCGGAATGCGATCTCTCCAGCTCAGCACAGGGCCTGCGATGACAGAGCCGTTTCCAGCCAGGTGCCCAAAGTGCAACCTCACTCCACCCTCATCCCTTAAATGCTTGGGAGTTCCTCCAAATTATGGCTTTCCAGTGACCTTAAATTCAGACACATTTCATTAAGGAATCTTGCCATGCAGTCTCACCCTCTGATCTCCAGAGCCCAGTCTCTTCAGCCCCACAGCACCCCAACCCCCGGCCTGGCTCTCCGCATTCAGTCTACTCAAACTTCTTTTCTAAAGCAACTAATTGCTTTTGAGTCTCCAGTACCATCTCAAAAAACAAACAGACAAACAAAATACACTTCCCGGTTTCTACTTAGCCATATCTCTAACTACCACTACAGTTCAAGGAGTGGGCTAAGAGTAAACAATGTTTTGTTTTAATTTTTTACTCTCCACAGCTCCCAAAAACAGAGGATAAGAAATGACAGGGGAAATGTCAGGAGCATCTGTTTTCTAAAACCATTATCACTCCCAGGCTTGGAAAATACGTCACAATGCTGGTCAATTTATGAGGCTGAAACTCAAATTGCGTAGATGTTAAAAGTGGCTAAGAACACAAAAATAAGTAAATACAAGTGATCCTTTTGTCTTTCTTCAAAGGAAGGCGCCCTGGATACCTCCGGGAGCTTTGCATCCACACAGCTCTGGGGAAGCTGCAGGGTCCTCCCAGTGCAGGTGTCACCAGCAGAGGGCACAGTCCCTCCCCAGTCCGCCACCAGGCTCCACAGGAAATGCCAGGGCAGGGATTAAAGGAAAGTTTTTCACTCCTACTTTACATAAGTGGATAAACAGAGTCAGCCAGAATTGGAAGCAGCTTTCCCAGGGAACACACAATCAGGAAAAAGAGTGTGGGTTTCCAGCATCTCCCTATAGCCCACTGTTTGCTCAGAGATGCCAGGGATGGTCCTTGTGACAACGTTTTATTAGTTCACTCAAAATGATAAAAATACTAGGAATTGCATGTATATCTAAGAGTGTATATTGCCTATATTCAACTGTGAATTTGTGTGTGTAATGCAAAATCTTCCACTGCCCATTTTTTGCCTACGGACTGACCGGCACTGTTCATTTTCTCAGAGTATAGCCTCCTGATTTTTTAGATTTTAAATGATCTGTCTTTAATTGTATTGATGACAAATTATAATGTTTCAATATCCTTACATGGCAAAATATAAAGTGATTACCCTAGGTCCTTCTCCAAAATTACACACACACACATCCCCCCGACACACAAACATAGGTCCATGCAACCCGAAAGTCATGCTCTCTAGAACCCAAAGGTCAGTTGCTTTTTATTTTTGTGTTTTTCCTATGGTTGTAGCATGACCCAATCTTAGTCAGAACCAAAGAAGAATGCAGCCTGAGTTTGTTGTAACCGCTGCACTTGGGAGTGGGGAATGGGGCACACAGATCTGTGCACATAGTTGCAGTCCCTGAGGGATATTTCCTGACATTGACAGCTTGTTCTTTGTGGGCAGGTACCCAGCTCCTGTTGGAGGCCTGTGTCCACGCTAGTGTGCCAGTCTTCATCTACACCAGTACCCTAGAGGTAGCCGGGCCCAACTCCTACAAGGAAGTCATCCAGAACGGCCACGAAGATCAGCCTCTGGAAAACACGTGGTCTGCTCCCTATCCATACAGCAAACAGCTTGCTGAGAAGGCTGTGCTGGCGGCTGATGGGTGGACTCTGAAAAATGGTGGCACCTTGTACACTTGTGCCTTAAGACCCATGTATATCTATGGGGAAGAAGGCCCATTCCTTTCTGCCACTGTAACTGCAGGTCTGAACAACAGTGGAATCCTGCCAAGTGTCGGCAAGTTCTCCACAGTCAACCCAGTGTATGTTGGCAATGTGGCCTGGGCACACATTCTGGCCTTGAGGGCCCTGCGGGACCCCAAGAAGGCCCCAAGTGTCCGAGGACAGTTCTATTACATCTCAGACGACACGCCTCACCAAAGCTATGATGGCCTTAATTACAGCCTGAGCAAAGAGTTCGGCCTCTACCTTAATTCCGGTTGGAGCCTGCCTTTATTCCTGATGTACTGGATTGGCTTCCTGCTGGAAGTGGTGAGCTTCCTGCTCAGCCCAATTTACACCTATCGACCCCCCTTCAACCGCCACACAGTGACGTTGTCAAATAGCGTGTTCACCTTCTCTTACAAGAAGGCTCAGCGAGATCTGGCGTATAAGCCGCTCTACAGCTGGGAGGAAGCCAGGCAGAAAACCGCGGAGTGGGTTGGTTCCCTTGTGGACCGGCACAAGGAGATGCTGAAGTCCAAGACTCAGTGATTTAAGGATGACGGAGATGCCCACGTGGGTATTGTTGGGAGACGTCGTGAAGCTCCACCCTCCTGGCTTCGCACAGAAGGTGACAAGAGCACACGCCCAGGTCCTGCTGCGCCCCCCCTTACACAATGGACAACTTACTGTCTTCCTTGCATCAAAACCTGTGCAGTCACTGGCCCAACCAGAAGCTTTCTGTCCTAATCATATACCAGAGGACAGACAATGTGATTTTCTTTTTACAAATCTCAGTGGCTGATTCCGAACCATTTGGGGTCTCTTTTAACTTGAGGGTTTCTTTCAGTTAGTATAGCTCCATTTCTCCTCTTAAATGAGAAAGGATTTCTTTTCTTTTAAATCTCCCATTTCTTCACGCAGTTCAGTAAAAAGAGCAATAAATGTCTTAATGCTTAACCTGGAGGGAGGTGTGGTTTCTCTTAATACATATTTCCCTTCTTTCCCTTTTATTTCTGGGTATCACCATCTTTCACTTAGGGGAGAAGCATGAAGACAGGGTTTGGGGCTGGGGAGAACAGTGGGAGGGTCAGGAAGGTGGTGGAAGGCTCAGTAAACTCTACCTTGTTTCAGGCATGTACAACATGAGCTATATGTGACATATATTACCTCATTTAATACTCATCGGAAACCCACGAGGCCGGGTGACTGTTTCCACTTTATCAGTGAGGAAACTTGTTCACAGTCAACTGATTTGTGGCTAGGCCTGCTATCAGGGAATCAGCTTTGAAAGTTCTTATCTTTCTACCAAGTCACACAGCCTGAACTGGTCTTGTCAGTGGTACAGCAGAGCACTGAAGGGTGGGGTGCCTGTCACTGAAAGAGCACAGCTCCCTCGCGTTACCGCCTTCTTGCTTATTCCCATGCAGGGGACCCTCCAAGGAAAGGACCAGGAAATTCCCTGAGGGGCATCTGAAAGGGTTTGCATGCCTTTCCAAGTGGCCCTGAGCAGGGAGAGCCAACGAAAATGCATCCAGCCTCCACCAGCTCCAGGGCCAATTTCCTTGGAAGTTTCTGGAGCACAACCGGCTACATGTGCGATGGCCATTTTGGTCATTCATAATCTTGCATTCCACCCTTTCAAATCACACAACGAAGCCACACCATGGGTCCCTGGGCAAGTAAAGGCAACAAGTGTGAACTTCTTCAAAATATACCTCCAATTCAGCTCAAAAAGTCGGTGTGTCCTATCTCACATGCCCAGATCGAACTGCCTCTTCTTTCTTTATCCTTCTCTCCTTTGACTCACATCCTTTCTTCCTTTATTCTTCCGTCTCTTTAACTTATTTCCTTCCCTCCATCTCCGTTTTAATCACTGTCCTTCTCATTCTTCTCATTGTCCCCAAGAAGTGGAGGCAAAAGAGGACAAGTTTGGGGACTTCAATGACATTAATCAACCAAAAAAGCAACAGTTTAAAAAAATCCACTCTCAGGGGCATCAGGGACAGAGTTGAACCGTCCTCGCTCTCAGGTTGCTGTGGGGTCAGAGTGTGGAGAGGGGAAGCTGTCTTCCTCTTCACCAGGGTGTGACAGCAATGATGACAGTCACACTCAACATCAAGATGACTTCTTTCCTACACAGGAAATTTATAGATAATTTATCAGTTGAAATTGATTACCACAAAGGATACAGTTTCAGTGTTCATCTTGACAGGAAAAGAGAAAAACACTCTGGCCCCAATGAACAGGTTTCCATCACCTTCAAAACCCCAAGGGACAGATGGTCAGCACGAGCATTAGGGTAAATTGACCCCGGGCAACGGAGTAAGGTGAAAAATGAAACAGCCATGCTTCCCCGGCCGCTGCACAAAATGCAAGAGCCAGCGTCTGTCCAGCTCTTGAAAGGCATATACACCATCCATATGTTAATGCCAAATAGCATGGGAGGGAAAGGAGGGTGGCGGAATCTGGGACAAGAGCCCTTCCTCCTTGTTTTCAGCCTAATAAAACCCCACACCTGTGAACCACAAGGGCAATTTTCACGGGGAAGGAAAGGGAAAGGACACATCTCCATCAGGCAGCGAGGAGTGATCGAAGAAAGAGACGTGGGAATTGGATAGCCAGCATTCGCAACTGAGCAAGCATAGAGGCCTCATCGTGTTGTCACTAACAAATGTGCCACCCCTTCTTACACTTGCAGGTGCCAGGCAGGCAGAGCTTCTGCCCCAAACCCCGCTGCATCTCACGCGATGCACCACACGGCGGCAGCAAAGCCCCAGAGAGAAGCACAAGGAAACCTGGCCCAGCCAGGGTGTTGGGGGTCCCTTTTCTCCACCTGGGTGGCTCTGTAAGGTACTTGGCAAAAGAATAAATGGAAGCACAACAAGGACTGAGCCTCCGGCATAAGGGCTAGGTGTATATGAGCACCAAGAACGGAGCTGAGCTGAAGTCACCGGGAAAAGCCACAAGAGCCCATGAGGCTTGAACGAGGCTTTAGATCCCTGGGTCCAGGGAGGGAGCACAGCCAAGGCAGTGATGTGGAGGAGGATGAGGGCTATAAGAAGCACCCCGCCTCGGGGCCGGGCGCGGTGGCTCAAGCCTGTAATCCCAGCACTTTGGGAGGCCGAGGCGGGTGGATCACGAGGTCAAGAGATCGAGACCATCCTGGTCAACATGGCGAAACCCCGTCTCTACTAAAAATACAAAAAATTAGCTGGGCATGGTGGCGCGTGCCTGTAATCCCAGCTACTCAGGAGGCTGAGGCAGGAGAATTGCCTGAACCCAGGAGGCGGAGGTTGCGGTGAGCCGAGATTGTGCCATTGCACTCCAGCCTGGGTAACAAGAGCGAAACTCCGTCTCAAAAAAAAAAAAAAAAGAAGAAGAAGCACCCCGCTGCGTGCTGGAGGAAGATGAGGGAGCTCAGGTGCCAGACTCAGCCACAGACCCGAGAGGCAGGCTCGAAGTTTCTGGGTAGGGTGTGGAGCCTGTAACAGTCGCTGAGGACCGTCAGCAAAGTGGTAGGAGGCCAATTCTTACGTGAAATCTTTGCTTTCTAAATGTTAATGACTAACTCTAAATTTAAAAAAGCAGCGTGAAGACCAGCTCCAGGAGGGATGCTTGGGCTGGTGTTCAAACTGGATGTGCAGTATTTTATATCTTGAGACGTGGTTGGTGAGATGTCAGCAGCAAATCTGTTCATTCCTGATCGTAAGTCCCAAATATACGTTATTATATCATAGTCTCAAATTTTCTGTGTTTTTACGCAGGTTATGATTTTTTTTTAATAAATTAAATTTGGTGGGGGAAAATATGCAAACTAACAAAACACATTCACAGGCTGCCCCAGGCTTAAGGTCTCCGATTTTCCACGTTTGCTCCCATTCTAGTGGTCCAGTGGGGGAGATGAAATACGAGATATATTAGGTGCTGCGCACAGTAGGTGTGCAGAGTGCCGTGAGGAAAGTGCTTCCAGAGGATCCATTCCTATAGGGGATTCATGGGGTCCTTGCATTTGAGCTGGATATCAAAAGATGGGTAGGATTCCAACACGCAGGAATGCAAGTGAAAGTATTCTAGGCAGAGGCAATGCAGTCTGCAAAGAGCCAGGTGAGAAAAGGGTCAACAATGGGACCAGACCAGAGAACACTAGGCCAGGGGAGAGTGGGAAGATAGACCTGAAAAAATGATGAACACAGACCATGATAACCCACGGTCACTTCTGGAGGCATGCTGCCTGCTCCCTTCTTTGCCCTCAGAATACAAGTCTGTGGCCCCCTTAAAAACCACTTGACAATCAGTTACTTCACATATCAAATGCCTCGTCTTTTCTCAAAAATTGGACTCTAAGGGTAAAGAACGTCTCCTCTAGCAATGAATATTGATGGTGGTGCTAAAAGCTGGGACGTCATTCACTGTGCGATGGGAATTGTTCAGCTGTCCCTGGAAGATCACATTGGCTGTATTTTGTCGGTTGGACTGAAAGAGATGAGGAGGATACTTCGAGAATCTAGGTAAGAAATGAAGGCCTGATTTCTGTGTTGGTAACAAAATGGAATACAGGGGCAACTGAGGCAGGCCTGAGGCAGAGCGGCCGCTAGTTTAGACAGGACTGGGCGTGGGCACGGAACTCCCAGGCACCCACCGTCTCAAGCCAGAAACCCGACGGCAGCCCCACGCTCCGCCCACCTGTCATTCAGAGCCACCGACTTTACTCCAAACGCCTCTTGAACCTGTCCTCTTCCTCCCTGGTGACCTCATTCCTTCCTTCACCCGCCACAGGCCTCCCTGTCTCGGAGGGTCCCCATGAGCCTGTCCACAGCAGTGCCGCCAGAGTCGTCTCCCCAGACTCATCATGTCACTCCCATCCTTCAAACCAACCGCTGGGTGGAGCCCCAGGACTGGCAGGATGAGCCTGAGACCTTCGCAGAACCCACGGGGCCTCTGAAGCCCTGGGCCCTGCCTGGCTCTCCAGACCAATTCTCACCAATCCCTGCCCTGTTCCCAGGTGCTTCCACTCTGTGCCTCAACGACTTTCCAAAACTCAGGGCTTCTGCCTGCAGCGTGCTTTTACATCCCCCTAGGCTGGGGCACGGCGTTCCTTCTGCTTAGAGGGCGCCCAGTTCCCCTGCCAGCAGCTCCTTCCCGGCTCCTTATTCACCATCCAAAGCCTCTCATTTTACAGCCTCCATGCCGTGTGCATATCAAGTTGCACTGCCATTAATATTTCATTTATATTTCCTGTTCCCCACCCCTACACTGCCACGTCCTGAGGAGGGTGGCTCACCATGTCATCTCTCTGTCCCCACTGCCTGATGCAAAATAGGCACATGGGCTGATGGAGGGAGGGAGGGAGGGATGGATGGATGGATGGATGGATGGATGGAAGGATGGATGAATGGATGAAAGGATGGATGGGTGGATGGATGGATAGAGGAATGGAGGGATGGATGGTTGAATGGATGGATGGATGGAAAGATAGATGGATGGATAGATGGAAGGATGGATGGATGAATGGATGGCTGCATGGATGGATTGATGGATGGATGGATGGATGGGTGGGTGGATGGATGGAAGGATGGATGAATGGATGAAAGGATGGAGGGATGGATGGATGGATGGATGGATGGATGGAAAGATGGATGGATAGATGGAAGGATGAATGGATGGATGGATGGATGGAAGGATGGCTGGATGGATGGATGGACAAAACACAAGCAAACTGAACTGTTAGAATGGAGAGAGGAGGGGATGTCAAGTCAGGGAGCAGAATGTTTTGAATGACAAAGCAGGAAAGAGTTCACAGATGACTTTTCAAGCTGTGGATAAACCTGTAGAAGCTGCAATGATTATTATGAGAGCCGGGAAAAAGAGGAGCCACACAGGGGGTGAGGGACTGAGAATGAACTCATTTGTGTGATATGGAGAATGAATGTGGGAGTGAGAGACTATGAGCAGGGACAGGGAAA